TCAAGCCAGCTACACTTTGTCCTTATTTACACATCTGTGATTTCAGGTCAATGGACTTGATGATACATGCCCAGACCCAGCCTATCTCTTCATTGCTAGATGACTCCAAAGGTAAATCTCTTCAATCAAAAGTCCAAGGTGAATCTACTAATCCATTCAAATGCTTATCCATTCAGAGTACTGTTACTGTTGTTAGGTGCCACTGAGTCCAGTTTGACCTATAGCAAGTGTATGGACAATCGGACCCTGCCATCCTCACACTTGCTAACACAATAAATCCCGTTGCAGCAGTCACCGTCAATATACCTAGTTTGTCCTCTCTTTCAGCATCTCCCCACCTTCCCAAGGATAATATTCATCTCCAGTGAAAAGCTTCTCTTAACAACATGCCCAAATTATGTAAGACAAAGCTTTATCATCTTTTCCTCCAAGGAACATTCTGGCTGCACTTTTTTCCAAGACATACTTGCTTTTTCTTTTGGCCATCTATGGAATATTCTGTACTCTTCTCTAACTCCATAGATCAAAAGCTTCACTTTTTCTTCTGTCATCCTTATTCATCATCCAGCTCTTAGATGTAAAGCAAGCAATCAGAAAATCTGTGGCCTGAATCAGATGCTCCTTAGTCCTCAAACTGACATCATTGTTCTTCAACAATTTGGAGAGGTCCTTGACTGCAAACTTTGCCAGTGCGATATGCCTCCTGATTTCCTGACTGCTGGTTCCAAAGGTGTTGGTTGTGGATTCAAGTAAAATGAAGTCGTTGACAACTTCAATCTTTTTTCCTAAGTTGAGTCCACAGGCCAGAGTCCCTCACAACTCCTCCTTCTCAAGCCAACAACCTTTTCCTGCTCATCCATGCATCTGTGGCTGTTCGGTGAACAGCAATGAAGGAACGTGTCCAAATTCCTCCTGTTTCTTTGTTGTTGTATTCATCCCACTTCCACTCCTGTGGATCCAAGTGATCGATAGACGTGAAGAAGCATATCTTCATGAGGGCAGATTGCCATATCTTTTATCTATTCTCCAGTGAGGGTTGGTGGTTTGAACTGCCAGTCTTCCTCATTTAGCAGATGAACATTTTAACCAAGTGCACCACAGTTTCTCTACTAACCCTTGACATTTATTTGAACATCTGTATTTGTTTTCTTGTTCAATTTTCTAGATAATCCAATAGTAACACTCGGAACATTTCTACTATCAGATATATTTAAATGATATATTTATCATTTGTTTCTATTCTGACTTAGATCATAATGAAAAAAGTTAGCTAAATCATTTTTAGTAAAACACTCCTCATTTCATCATATCCTAATTAATATGTCATCTCTAAGCTCCAAATGGAATCTTACAGAGTCTTTGGAGACTGAAGTAAATTTCTGAGCTGCTGCGTGGCACGAGTCCCACAGGATTATTGAGGAAATGCATATATTATGTAGAGAAGATCAGAATACCAGAGAGAGGAAAAGCATCCTTTGTAGGAATCCGCCTTGTCAACAAGGGTAAGCACTAGGAGCAGGGTGATTTATCATTTTGACTCTCTGTGACCTCAGGTGCAGTTGGAGTTGGATTGCAGTGTCTAGCCTAGTCTTCAAAGGATCACTCTGTGACAAATAATTACATGCACACACGCACACACACACACACGTAGATACACATCTGTGTATTTCTAACTTAGAGTGCATATCTGGCTTCTTCAAATTTGCAAAATAAGTCTGGCATTTATAATTAGGAATTATTTAAGCATAACTATCTCTCAGAGCACAGATGGAAATGCTTGACTAAAGAAAATGCTGGTAATTCACTTGCTCAAAAGCCACCATTGAAAATCCAATGAGCACAATTCTATATGGAATACATCCATTTTTAGGAGTGAAAAATCTATCCTAGGGCAACTTAAAAAAAATCAATTCCTAGAAATTTTGTGTACTAGGAACTTTGTTTTGGTGACAAAGCAATAAACAACAGAGACCCATCTCTGTCCTTTTGGATCTTTCATTTTAGTGAGAGAAAAATATGTAATACATTTTTAATAGAGTGGGAGAAAGACAAGATGTATAGGAAGATTGCAGAGAGTTGAGCAGGAATGGGAAGGGAATTTTAAACAGAGGGATTAGAATGGACTCTACTATGCAAATGACTCTTGAAAAGGTCTTAAATGAGCTTTAGGGCATGGATGACATATGAGGAAATATCTCAGACAGAGGAGACAGTTCAAAATCTCTGATGCTGTGGGGTATACCTGAGATGTATGTTAGAGTAAGAGTGGGAGAGTCAGCCCACCTGAAGTAGAGTGGGCCAAGGAGGGTTGATTTATAATGCACAGGTAAGAAAGGATTAGCTCAAGAAGATTAGTGCTGGTAAGAAGATAAACCAAATATTTCATCTGGGTGAATGATGGTCCTAAAAAGGAGTTGTGTGAGACTTAAAAGAAAGCAAATTATTAGTGTCAGGGCTGGATCCTAATCACAAGATTCCAAGTCCAAAGAAGTTTGTATTTCTAAGCCTACCACTCTTTGGTTAAATGACATAAGAATAGATAGAAAGTAATAAACTTCCAAAGTTCAGGTAGCCTATGAATAGTACCACCATTCTGACTATTATTAACCTTTATTGGAATTTTTATTCCACATAGTGACCTTTCATTAATTTATGGTATTATTTCTCTCCTTCAAATGAAAAATAGAATTTTAACATTTGTTAAGTATATCTGATGCCAGATACTCAGATTTGAATTTTACTTAGAATTTCTCTACTTCTCAATATACCTTATTATGAAAGTATATTTTTTATGTTTTCAAATGTAAAGAAATTTGGATGGAGGAGTTGACAAGAGACTTTTCAAGACTGAAAGGCTATTAAATGTTGGGATTAAATTTCAGTCTCAGGTACAGTTTTAAATATGCTGTTCTATCAATGCCAAACTCGTCTCCTATCTGCTGGTCTTGTGTGTCTACGGTAAGCTGTTACATCAACTGTGGATGGATGTTCTAGAAGGGACCGTTTATATAATTGGGGACAAATCCTGTCATACCAGAGAAGGAAGACTCTGGCAGATAATACTTTGGGCTCATAGAGAAAATATTCTAACACATCTCATTTTCCACCAAGCTAACTCAGAAATGTTAACATGGTAGCAGCAGGATTCAGAAAACAATGGAGTAGCCTTAAAATCTCTTGAAATCTAGACTTGGAATTCATAGGGCACTGTCTCTGCACTATTCGAAAAATGATTGGCTAAGGTAAGCTACCAGGCCATTCAGATTTAAGGAACAAAGCATATATTTAATTCTTGAAATCAAGAACTTGAAAGAATTTGGTCACATTGGAGGAAGGATTATCTTTTTATGATTTGTTTTATCTTTTTCTGTTTTAAAGATGAAGTATTTTAAATATTTTTAATCAGTGCAATTTGTGATAAAATTGCACTGCACACAGAATTGTGAATGCTGATAGATATGATCTCTTATTAATATTCTAAAGCTTTTATCCAATTTATTTATCTACCACAACTTTGCAGTTTAAAAAGAAAACAGACAAACTCTTAAGATTCTCTGGTGGCCTAGTGGCAAAACGCTGTGCTGTCATCCTGAAGGCACGCAGTTCTAGGCTACCAGGTGCTCCACAAGAAAAAGATGGGCAATCTCCTCCTGTGCAATTAACTGCCTCTGAAAACCTGCTGGAGGGTCAGCTGTGGGTTGGCTCCAACTTTTAGGTACACAACATTCTGTGTGTGTGTGTGTGTGTGTGTGCATGTGTATATATGCACATACGCATGTCCATATACATGTGTACATATGCATACACATACACATGTGTGGACACACACATACGCGCACACACACATATACTGAGGGACAATGATGTCAGCAGATGACTAAGGTGTGCCTGGTACAGGCTATGGTCTTTGCAATTACCTCCTATGCATCAGAGAGCTGGACAATGACTAGGAAGTATAGAAGGAGAATTGATGCCTTTGAACTGTGGTTGCTGGAGAAGAGTACTGAATATACCATGGACTGCTAGGAGAACAAACAAGTTCATCCTAGGGAGGGTGAAGCCAGGCTGCTCCTTAGAGGCAAGGATTCTGACACTCTGGCTGACATAATTTGGACATATTGAAAGGCAGAACCAGTCCTTGGAGAAGGACATCATGCTTGGGAGGGTGGATGGATAGTGCAGGACAGGAAGATCCTCAATGAGATGGATTGATTCCATCACTGGGGTAATGGGGATAGGTGTGCTAGAGTCAGTAAGATTGGCAAGGGATACAGCAGAGTTTAGGGCTGTTGTACATAGAGTCGCAGGCAACTCGACGACACATAACAACAACAACACTTTTGTTCCTTGGAGAATGACATCCCAGAGAAGGGAGACCCAGGATGAGATGTATTAACACAGAAACTAGAGTATGGGGGTAGGTTTATCAGATTTAGTGGGCTTGGCTCAGGAGAGAGCAGGGTTTAGAACTATTGTTTATGGGACCACTAGGAGCCAGAGTTGACTTGATGGTAAACAGAAACCACGATATATTATAAATGTAATGTAATAAATATAACATTATACATATAAAACTAATAAAACTGTAATAATATACATGTTAATGTTGTTCTGTGTCATCGAGCCAGAACTGACCCGTTCATGAGCCTACAGCACATTTTCAGAGGCAATAAATCACACAGGAGCAAACTACCAGTCCTTCTCCCATGGAGTAGCTAGAGGATTCGAACTATCTTCCTTTAGGTTTGTAGATCAGCTTCTTACCACCTCATTATAAATAAGAGAACTTGGCTCAAATGTATATATTTTAAACATTGATATAAATAACATTTATGTCTTGGTTTCAGCTTTCTGTCACTACCATTAAAATTAGTAAGAAGGCAACTGGCTCCTGGGATATCAGCTTGAATTCAGTAACGCTTATCCTCATTTACTTTTTGGGATAGAAGACTCATTTTTATTTTCTTTCTAATCTTCATAAGACTTTGATCTTTGTGGACATGAAAATAGGAAATCGCACAGTCCTGACTGAATTCATCTTGGTAGGTTTATCAGCAGACCCCAAGTTGCAGCTGATTCTGTTTGGAATATTTCTGGTGATCTATTTGGCCACCTTATCAGGGAACATGACCCTGGTTATCTTAATCCGGATTGATTCCCGTCTTCACACACCCATGTATTTTTTCATTGGCAGCCTCTCTTTCCTGGATTTCTGGTACACTTCTGTGTATACTCCCAAAATCCTGGCTAATTGTGTCTCAGAAGATAAGCGTATTTCTTTGGCAGGATGTGGGGCGCAGCTGTTCTTTTCATGTGTTGTAGCCTATACAGAATGCTACCTCTTAGCAGCCATGTCTTATGACCGTCATGCAGCAATATGCAACCCCTTACTCTATTCAGGTATCATGTCTAGTTCTGTCTGTACTGGGCTAGTTGCTGGCTCCTACATCGGGGGCTTCTTGAATGCCATAGCCCATACTGCCAATACTTTCCGCCTAAGTTTCTGTGGTAAGAATATCATCGACCACTTCTTCTGTGACGCCCCACCATTGGTAAAGATGTCCTGTACTGACACACGGGTCTATGAGAAAGTCCTCCTAGGAGTGGTGGGCTTCACAGTTCTCTCCAGCATTCTTGCCATCTTGATTTCCTATTTCAACATATTCCTGGCTATCCTGAGGATCAAGTCGGCCTCAGGAAGGCGGAAGGCTTTCTCCACTTGTGCTTCTCATATCATCTCAGTCATGCTTTTCTATGGATCCTTGCTCTTCATGTATTCGAGGCCCAGCTCCACTTATTCTCTGGAGAAAGACAAACTGGCCGCTCTCTTCTACACGGTGGTGAACCCACTGCTCAACCCTCTCATCTACAGCGTGAGGAACAAAGACGTCAAAGAGGCTTTCAGGAAAGCCATACGCACCATCTGGCCACAACGATGAAGGCCAGCATTGATGTTTTTAGTCAATGTTTGAGTTGCATTTTCCAAATTACTGCCCTACATGTTTGTAATCCCCGCTCTATGTCAATTAAATCATGCAAGTTAGGCTTAGTGAAATACAAAGTAGTCATTGATTTTTATTAAACTACTGTAACATACGTGGAAGGAGGAGTGGCGTCCACTTCCATAATAGCTTGCCTCCGGAAACCCTATGAACCTGGAGAGAGGATGAAAGGCACCCAAGCGTCGAGGACTCTCCTTCATAGGGTCGCTATGAGTCGTCTGCAACTCGACGGCACTTAACAACAACAACAACTGTAACATAAAATATTAGAAATTAATAATGACTTGCTGATGTTCTGCAAGATTTAAATTTGTCTTTTTTGCAGTATGAAGTTTATAAAAAATGTCTTTTTCGTGATGAAAAATAGAACTGGATGATTGTGCCTATAGTTTGAAGCTTGGTGAGCAACTTTATTGGTTGAGGAAAAGACATGGAATGTGGTAAATGAGCTTTACATTTTACAATGATTTATTTTCAGTAATTTTTTTCCTCCAATTCCTTTTACAAAGTTCTAATTGAATATATAGAAAATATGTATAACTCTGTGTTTTATATACATTAGCAAGATATTAGGTAGAGTATTTAAGAGTATATGGAGAAAAATTACATGCGTAGAGAAAGATGTCTCTCTAGAATTATACGTTACCTTAAAAAGAGCAATTTCTCCTTTATAATGTGAGGAGTACTCCATAGTATTGCTTGTCCGGCCACACCAACAAGTCTGTACTCTGGAGGAAAATTGCTTCAAGTGGGATGAAATGAACCAAGCACATATATGTGGGGATGGGGGGGAAATCCCACAATATTTTAGATTCTTTGTTTTCTTCTATCAGAAAATTTTAACGATAAATAAGTTAAGCACTTAATATCTGACACAGTAGATTTTTCGTAAATATTTAATCATTGCTTTCTAGGACACTGCGAGTTCAGCATTACTGATAATATTTTATACTTACTAAGGAAATTGAAGTTTAAAAGTTAGACTTTGCTACTAAAGGATTCTAACTGTTGCCATGATGAATATCTTTCCAAAAAAACAATAAACTAAAACTTAAAACAAATAATTATGGCCAATTTATATTTTGTATTATGAAAATGTTATTTTCTTTTCACTAGCCTTTTTTTCCTAATGTGTTACTAATCACTATTTTTCCATCATAAAATTCTTATCAACATCAAGATGAAAGGTCCTTAGGTAACTTAATCAAATTGATTTAGAGTGTGTTACATAAATCTCGACAATCTTTATAACATTTTTCAGATTTCAAAAATAACTAGTACAGATAATAAAAAAGAAAAGGTAAATCAATCTTAGATGAGAGAGCAGGCAAAATGAATCCTTTCAGTGCTCAAAAGTAGTATTTGGTTTTTTTTTTTTTTACAAATGAATTTTTATTAGCAAAATTTAATAATTTAGCTTTTGGATAACGGTGAGTAATTTGACCAGGATAATTGGCTAATGCAATTATCCATTCTGAACAATATTGATATAGCCAATTAACTAGTAGTATTTGTTTTGCAGTAACATCAACATAACTGTTTTTCAAAAACCCTACATTAATTTTAAACTGACTCTTCTTTAGTCCACGTTAAGCCAAGACACTGCTTTCAAAAGAAATGCACCATGTTAAACCAGATACACTTTTTATAGTGGTCCCTGGGTGGCACATATCATCAGTATTCTTCTAGTAATTGTAAAAGCTGGAGTTTCAGATCACCCCTCAGTCACCTCAGTTTCCTAATGGTTGTAATCATGGGAAGTCCTATGGGTCCCAATTCTACCCTGTTGCGGTGCTGTTATGTGCCATCGAGTTGCTTGCATCCCATAGTGACCTTAGGTACAAAGCTCTGAAGCCTGCCTTGTCCTGAGCCAGTCTCACTGATTCTGACACACTAATTCATTGTCCCAGTTATTGCAATATACAAAACCACAACGTTTGGACTCAGTCTGATACTTTATTTGCTTTATTCTATAGTATAAAGTCTAATCACAGAATTAACACATTGTCTATACCAAAGAAACATTTTTAAAATTTTTTAAAAAGTTAATATTAATGAAAGTTTACAGAGACTTGGGTTTTTCCATCCATTCATTGTTGCACATTTTCCTTCCTGCCCACCTCTCTCTCCCAGTTCACTTTTCTCTTTGAAAAGTAAAAAAAAACCAAACCAAACAAACAAAAAACCCAAACCAAAACCTTCCATTGTTGTATGACACCACCCAGTCCACTTATCAATGAATTCTTTCAATAGTAAAGAATATTTTAAAAATCTTAGTTCTCAAGTTTTCTCATAAGGTGATTCATTATCCCTCAGCACTGATTTGAGAAGTGCGTGCCAATTTAGAGTTCCGGTTATGTTAACTTGAGGAGTTTTTTCAGAGCTTCTTTCACATCTTTGTTCCTCAGACTATAGATCATGGGATTCAACATGGGGAAGAGCACAGTATAAAATGTAGAAATTATTTTGTCCCTTTCAAGGGAATAGCTGGAACTTGGTCGAGAGTAAATATAGAGAAAGGAACCAAAGTATAAGGTGACAGAGATCAGGTGGGAGGAGCAGGTGGAGAAGGCTTTGAGGCGGCCCTGGGTGGAGCGGATTCTCAGGATGGCAGCAATGATGAAGAGGTAAGAGGCGAGGATGAGCACAGTGGGGGTGATGACGTTGGAGGCCAAGAGGAAGTACAGTACTTGCTGGTAGCTTTCTGTCACATCACACGCCAACTTCACCAGTGGTGGGACATCGCAGAAAAAGTCATCAATGACATTATCACCACAAAAATCCAGTGTGAATGTGTTGCTGGTGAGTATTATTGCATCTACAAAGCCTCCAGTGTAGGAATATATAATCAAATATAAGCACAGTCTTTTTGACATGACCTGAGCATAAAGCAAAGGTTTGGCTATGGCCGCATAGCGATCATAAGCCATGGCCGCCAACAGGTAACACTCACTATACGCCAGCCCAGCAGAGAATAAGAACTGAGCCAGGCAGCCTGCAAAGGAAATGCTTTTGTCCTCAGCGATACAGGTTACAAGGATCTTTGGGGTGTAGACAGAGGAATACCAGAGATCTAGGAATGACAAATTGCCAATGAAAAAATACATGGGAGTGTGGAGTCTTGAGTCATTGAATATCAACACTATGAGTGTGGTATTTCCCATTACTGTCAGAGAGTACCCAACAAGGAACACCACGAACAGGACCAACTGCATCACAGGGTCTCTTGAGAAGCCCAACAGGATGAACTCGGTCACACTGTGATTGCTTCTCTCCATGGTGAAAGGAAACTACCTACAAATGGAGTAAACAATTTCATTCTCTTGAATGGAGACACTCTATTTATCATGCAAGATGATCAACATTGGGGTTAGAATTAGGAGATCAAAGCATAAAACACTAACGTGATAATATGATTAGAATTCTCTGTAGAGTCATTTAAGTAAAACACATTTGTATGAATAAATACATAATTCTGCTGATGGGTTATTATTTTCAAAACCCATTTGTGTATATGCTATTCTAGGTACATTGTATCTCACGTTCTTATGAACTTTCTGTTCTATAGAGAATAGACAACAGTAAAAAAAAAAATAGGGCTCATAGAAGGGGGAAAACCCCCCCAAACACAACTAGGAAAGTTGATTCTAAACACCTAGAGAAACTCTCCCTTCCTTCCTTTTCCAGATAGGAAAAACCTGTGTTGTTCTGATCCCATGAAGGCCAGGAAGGTCCCTAAAGGTCACAAAATAATAACATTTTCCTCTTCTGCCAAAACAAAGCAGAGTTTCCTCTTGACTGTTCTGGAGGACCCTGTGGTGCATTTACCATAAATCCCAGGAGAGAGGACCAGAGTCAAGTGAAATTTCAAAATGGAGATAAACAATCTTAACCACCTTGTCCCAAACTGCTACAGAATCTATGTCTACTACATAAAATATGATGTCACTGTTGCCCTTGCAGGCTCTAAAAGCCTAGAATTTAACATCCTTTTAAAGCATTAAAATTAACCTTGGAATTTGACATTATTTTACATTAGAATTTAACATTATGTAAGGGTCAAAAATTAGCATTTAGCATTATTCAACAGGAACAAACATTTCATTTTTTTATAAACAATCATTTTAATACCTTCTTTATAGTCCAGAAATGAAAAACATATGTATGCATATATTATAGTTATACATACGAATATGCTAAAACATCACACATCTACTATGTAATACGGTAAAATTATTCTGTGCTTATTCTAGTCATAATTCTGATGTGCAAATAATGTAAAACAGTGTCAATTCAATATATGAATTTTTAGTGAAAAGCATAGCTATTTATTGTAGAATCTCCATAATTATACACATTAATCAAATAGTAAAAGCAAAATGTCAGTATTAAGGGAATAGCAGTGAATAACAACAGGGTGGTTGCAAAGATTGAAGGAGGTAACTTGTTTAAGGTGTCTGACAGGTGGTAAGAACTCAAGTCAACAGTGGTTCTTAAATTCAGGGCATCTAACAATGAGGAGAACATCATCTCAGAGATTCCATTTTAGGGAAATAACAACAGCTCAAGTGCCTCTGACACAGCGTTCATTTGTTGTTGATTTTTTTGTCTCTTTGTTTTTTTAATTACATCTGATAAATCTGTTAGGAATATCAGCTACATTGCTAACATCCTTGATGTTGTCCTTATTTATTCTTTCCGTCCTGCCTGTTTTTCTATATTGTAAGTAATCAAATAAAACATTTTTCACACTGTTGCACATTTAACAAGAAGGGCAATAAATAGATCTCTGTGACTCTTGTGTCAATGACTTAAGTCACTCCTTGTAAAAAGATTGTGCATTAAGAGGTGCAGGAGGAGAGAAAGAGAGGAAGACCCTCAACCAGACAGATTGACGCAGTGACTGTAGTGATGGCACATAGGACAATGTGCAGATACGCTTTTCAGAGGGTCAGTATGAGTCCTAGTAAACTCAACAGACCTTAACACCACCACATAAGTTAGGGAGATTGAGTGGCATTGTCGTTACGGGGTTGTATTGGTAACTTTGAGGTGATGTTTCTATGCTGATTTGAATCCATCAGTAGCTATGCAGGAGAAGTATGTATAATCTCTTAAGTGGTTTTTTAAATTTTTTTTATTAATTTTAGTGAACATTTACAGAAATTTTGGATTTCCATTCATTCATCATTGTATTTTTCTCCCTGCACACCCTTCCTCCCCACTCTCCCAGTTTGCTCTTTTCTCTGAAAAGTAAAAGTAAAATTCCTTCATTGGTATACAATCCCCTCCATCCCAAGTACACTCCACTATGTAACCTTCACTCTGGACTCCCATCATAGCCATAATAACCAATCATATATCACTATCTGTTTCAATGCAGTATATATAATTTATCCAATTTTTCTCAGTCTCACTCCAACCCTGATGTCAGTCCCATTCTATAACAGTGGCTCTATGCAGTATTCATCCTTTTGTGACTGAGATATTTCTCTCAGCATAATGTCTTCTCAAGTGTTTTACAGCTTGAGATTCCTACCAGAGGGTCAACTGTGACTCAGTTCTGACTTGATGGTAATGCCAATTTTTTTAAATTTTGAGTTAACATTGTTGAACAAATATACTGGTAACTGAGATTTGAGTCTAATCTGAGGTACTTCAAGAAAGATATGTTTATCTATTTTTGCAAATCATACAGCATACCTTTAAGTGGGGCCACCAAGAGTTGGAGTCAACGAGAAGGCAGTTCCAGCACTTGTCTGTTCCTTTCCTGTCCTGTGGTAGCAGGATCATTTATGGTGAACACATTTCAGTAGAACTTCCAGGTTAAGAAAGACTTGACCATCCACTTCTTAAACAACCCATTCACTAAGAGCTGTTGGGCTAGAACCAACTCCAAGAGGTTTCTGAGACTGTAAATCTCAAGGAAGGAGATTGGTTGTCTTTAGCCCATATAATCACTGGTAGATTCAGATCAAGTAAATTCAAATAACCAGAGAGGGAAGATCTTTTGGATGGAAGCGCAAATCACTATGGATCACAACAGCAGAGAACTACCTTCTGAAATAACAGTCTCTTGTAAACCATATGAACAGCATTGAAACATTGCTGGATAATGCTAGAAAAATGGGGGTCCCCAGGTTAGAAGGCATTAAAAACCTCACTGGAGAGGAGCTGCCCCTTCAAAGTAATGTTTCCCTTTGTTCCCTCAGCAGGTGGAGTGATGCTTTCATCCAATGAAGGACCTTCTCTTGATCGTGTGGCAAGACTTAACATTGCTAATATTTTAGATGTCGATGTGGCTTTTGATTGAAAGTCTTATGTTTTTCCTATGCTGTCACTGTCATATTCTTGGCATTGCAAGAAGGAACATCTACAAGTATCCCTTAATAATTGGAATGTAGGATATATACAGTATTAATGTATGAAATAATGGAAGTTGTGAAAAACTGAAATCAAACACTTAAAGCTCTACATCTTACGCTTCAGTGAGCTGAGACTGACTAGTTTTTGCCATTTTGAAACAGGCAATCATCTGCTTTAATGTGCTGAAAATGACAGATTGAAGAAGAATAGTTTTAGAATCATCTTCAAAAAAGAGAATTTCAATGTCTATCATGAACTACAATGATAATAACCATAAACAAATAAGGAAGACCTGTTAATATAGCTATTATTCATATAGGGGCACCAACCATTAAAGTCAGAGATGAAGAAATTGAGTATTTCTATCTACTTTTGTGGTCTCAGCTTGGTAAACATGCGACTGGGATTCATTAACCGTAATTGGTGACCGGAATGCAAAATTAGGAAAGAGGAAAGATTGGCATTTGAAAAAATATAGATTTGGTGACTGAAATGAGGCTGAGGCTGAAGATCACAGTATTTTGTACAATTGGTGCCTTATTTCTTGTGAATTCTATTCTTTGTTGTCGTGTTGTGTACAGTTGATTCAGAATTGACCCATAGCTGACCTTTTAGAAGGTTTTCAGAGACACTAGATCACACAGGAGGAGACTGTCCATCCTTCTACCAGGGAGCAGTGGATAGATTCAAATTGCATGCCTCTGAAATTGCACCACTGTTTCTTACCACTAGGCCACTAGAGCTAAAAACCATAAACAGTGACTATGTATATTGACGTTTTCTAATGGAATTCACAATGACAAGAGGCCAACTGTTAAAAACTTGGAAAATCACAACAACAACAACAACAACAACAACAACATACCTGTTGATTTATTGATATATATTATGGATATAAGTAAAATGAATGCTGAAATGATACAGTACTGGTGCACTGGAAGTTATGTTGAAATGATATCGTTCTGACACACACCATTCTCAAGTTTAAATCATACTGCATTTTCTTGCTCTTTGGACAACTTATTCTTCCCTAAGTAGTTGCATATGAACATGATTAAGTATTCTGGAATTTTCGTTTCTTTCTGATGTTTTCTAAAGTTTGTTATCCACACAGTTGAATCTATTTGTATGATCAATAAACACAATTAAAATTTTTCTGGGATCATTTGCTCCCCAGAATATGAAGTTTAGTATTTAGTGTCAGAAAAGAGATTAAAACAGTGTGACATTAAAGCACTAGATCACAATTCCTGATTTATGTATTCCCTAAGTGCATTATTTCCAGTGTAATTTTTCATGTTTTGAATGTGATTCAGATATATTCTTGAAAATTTATAACCTGCTGTAGATTTATGGGTTTTGAGAGTTACTTATATACAAATGAAATGTCAATTTATTTTACTGTCTTAAAAAAATTAAAGAACATTAATTAAGGTAACACAATCTTTGAAAATTCAATAAAGTGACATTGTTGTGCCTAAAAAAAAACCAAAACACAAAACCCTTGGAAAATGCTCTATTTTTTATTTGAAAATATCCTACGTCTTATGCACCTTATTTATTAATGAGAATAAGAAGAATCTACTCATAATGTTGTAGGAAAACTTACACGATATACTGTATAGAAGTGTTTGGTATGTGATTTGATATAAAAATTATCCATCTTAAGTCAGTGATGATGTTATACAGTTGTAAAGCGATGATAGAGTGTTTAATGTCAAATACTGCAGGAGTAAAATTTGTATTCAGGACATCTCTTATGTACCCCTATATATGTATATTCTCTCTTCTGGGTTTTCATCTTTCTAACATCTGTCCTTTCAATATCACCCTTTCTCCCACAGACCTCTCAGTGAAATCTGTCAGAATTTCGTACTGTGGTTACTTGACTGTTTTCATGATGCTGGACGCT